CCTTTGAGAGAATGTAGTGAGGTCTTTCCCAAGAGGCAGGGTCTGTATAACAGAGTGGGGAGTGCAGACCAGCCATCCTGCCTCAGGTGGTCTGTAGGACAAAGGTTCCCCTGTTTAAGACGTGCCCAGGTGCCAAGAAGTAAAAGGAACTATTACGCCTCTGCTTTCTCTTCCAGCCTCAGTGAGGTTCTCTGGGTAGCATTGACATTATCCTTCCTCTCTCTCAATATCCTTGTATTTGTTGGTAAAGTCTGTATCTGTCTAATCAGGGTGAGGGTACTTTTTGAGATCAAAGGCCCTTTGGGAACAGTACCTGTCAGCCTCCCTTCTGGCCATGGCCACCCACACATACACCTGGGATGCACACAGCTCTGTCCAGGGCCAATGGCTTGTGCTAGACAGCGGTGGGGGCAAGGGAGGTAGCCGGAGCCAGGCAGCAGGATGTACCAGGGCTCGAGTTCTGTTCCCCTCCTTGTGTGATGACTGCTGCCCTGACAACAGGGACAGCTTTGGGCAGGACATCATGCTGCTGGCTTGTTTGTGTATCTGAAGGCAGGAAGTAGGGGACTGATTGCTGCCCTCCTAACTAGCCCAACAGGCCCAGTCCTCAGGTGGCCTCTCCCGCACCCTAAGGGAAACCCCCAAGAGGATCCCCCAGAGGAGTCAGCCATAAGATGAGAGAGCCAGGGTAAGCAAAGACCAGACCCAGATTCCGTGTGTGCTCAGCCTGACTCCTCCTTCCCCCAGCCAAGCCAGAAGCAGTGTGCTGGGCTGAGAGTGAGACCCAGTGAGAGTCTGTGAGGAAAGAAGGCCGTCTCTACTGCTCTCTGAGGTGACCGAAAGACCCGGCACTGAAGGGAGGCAAAGCCCCTCTCCTAGCCCAGTGCCCCTCATTGGTCGCGATTCTCAGCTCAAATACCATTCCTGAAAAGCCAGCTCCAGGGTCCCAGGCTGCAGTCACCTTCTGCCAACAGATCTTCCCACAGGCCAGTGCCCCTACTAGACAGGGACTGCTGCCCTCCCCCGCCCACTTCTGTTCAAAACTCTCTTTTCTATGGTGCATTCCCAGAATCAGTGCTATAAGCTGGGCAGAGCCCCATCATCTGCCACTGTTCCTAACACAGGTTTGTAAACCTGAGCCTATCTACTGCTTGTCTCAGTGATGTTCCAGTGTGCACGGCCTGTGTCCATCTGTTCCTTTTATTGTATTAGATGGCAGAGACTATTTCTCTCCCCTCTTCTATACCTTTTTTTTTTTTTAATGTCCTTATAAAAAGACTCTTTGGAAGAGGGTTGGGGGTACCAGGAGGGAGTACCTTTAGGGATCAGTTGTTTTGGACATGGGTTATCAGCAGAAAGTACCCCGGCTTCAGTGGGGAGAGGGATTGGTTCCTATGGGGTCTCTGACTTTTGGGCTCCCAGACGCTGTCCATGTGAATAACACTTACCTGCTATGGTCCAGGTTCCGAGGCAGGTATTAGACCTATACCTGGTCCACTCAACAATTCTTCTTTCTCCCCAGGCTCACTCTGCTCCGTCTCCATCGAGAAGGCACTGCCAGAGGACAGAGGCTTATACAAGTGTTTAGCCAAGAATGGCGCCGGCCAGGCTGAGTGCTCCTGCCAAGTCACTGTGGACGGTAGGTAGTGCCCACCCATCGCCGCCACACACAGAGTCCCACTTTTCAGGCACCCTCCCTTTCCCACCGTACCCGAACAGAGCTGTACCCAACGCTGCCATCTCTACCCAAGGCATTCCTTTTGTGGGTGTCACACCATCTTTTGCAAAAAACGCAACAGGAAGGAAAGAGGGAGCCCTACTTGATGGCCCTGTGTGGCCTCACAGCCCCACCCATGGCTGGGAGGAGACACTGCTTACCTTGTTGCCTCCCCTCCCCAGTCCTAGCCCCAGGACCTTGCTGGACAGGGAAGCCAGGCACAGGGCAGGAGGAGAAAAGACACACCCACAGGAAAATGACTGCGTAGTATTTTACAAGCCATAACAAGTGTCAGTGCTGGCAGGACAGACCCGAGAGGAGGAGGGAGCAGAGTGGGGTCCATGCGAGGAGACTTCCTCCAGGAGGTGAGTTGGGACTGTGTCTTCCTGTAGAGGGGACAGGGCTGCCTCTGCAAGTAGGAAAAAGTAATAATAGTACAGCAGAGGGAGAGGAAGAAATATGTGAGAACAGAGAGGCCTGCCAGGTCTGAGTGGAGTTTCCATGTGAGGAAGGGATAAGACTAAGCTGTGAGTTGGGATTTGTCTTAAAGAAATGCAGGCAGGTCCTTTGTGACTCTTCTTTCTCCCCTCTGTGTGCAGTTTAGCATTAGAGACGTGGAAGTGGTTTAGGCTACCACTCTCATTTTGCAGAATAGAAAACCGAGGCCATGCAGAGAGGGAAAGCATCCTGCATGAGGTTCCCTGGCCCATTTAGGGCTAAGCCAGAGCCAGAATCCCATCTCAGGACTCAATCTAATGTCCTTTCTTTTTATTTTGTTATTTGCTTGGAACTGTCTAAAAAAGGTAATTAGGGGAAAACAAAATCTTGCCCTCGAAATACCTGGCTAGTAATCAACCATTAATTATTAAGATGGCCAAAGAAGGCATCTTGAAGGCCAACTTTGTTGTTCTGACTTCTGAATATGATCACTTGAGTACAAAAATCCTAACCTGCCATTCCAAGAGATGTAGAATCTCTGTCCCCATTCTGGATTTTATCCTCATTTTGTGATTTCCTGATCACAAAAGCTGAGATCTGAGATACATAATGAATGGGTGAAAAGAAAAGAGAGTATTAAAAAGAAAAAAAAATATTTTAAATACTTACAATGGCAACATATATTAAATTGTCAGCAACCAACAGTAAAGCTGAAATTATCGAATACTGTGTGTCTCCCGGAGTTCTGTGAATGTATTTGCCACAGGAGCTCTTAGTCTGAGGAAGCAGATTTGATGGGTTAAAGTGTATGGTCAATTAAGAGAGGGTCTTGAAGCACGTTTTGAGGCTCTGGATAGGGGCTGCTGCTGGTGGTTACTCCTGTGTGTGTGTGGCCTGAGCTGTCACCCACCCAGGTAGATCCTGCTTCTTTCTGTACAGATGCTGCAGTTTAAACAATAGTGTTTCTGGGAACTTGACCCCAGAAGCCTATTTCTAACAGCCCCACCACTCACGTGGGACCCATGCTGGTTCCAAACAATCTATAAGGAAGTTCAGCCTGCTAATGAGGTTATCTGCTTTTGGAATCCCTAGCCTCTTTGAGTCCTGTTTACACTGCTAGCTGAAGGCAGGACAGCAGTTCATTCTCTTTATCTGCAAAATGTCAGCACCTTTTTGAGAAACAGCAAATGGTTTATTTTTAAAACCAAACTTTGTTTTTAAAATAAAATTTTCTTTTCACCTACAGAATACATTTGGGGATTCTTTTTTAAAAGTTTTAGGGAATCTATTCTGCAACTTATACTTTTTTTGCCCATAAATTGGTCTCCTTTTAGTTCATTCTCCTCCTCTCTCCACTAATCTTGATGACCTTCATTACTTATCTCTAGTTCTTACAAAGAGGCCTCCACAGTGTTTGGCCTCGGGCTGCAGATTAGAAGCTGGGTCTTTAGAGAAGAACTAGAAAAGGGATCTGAGAGAGACCAGTTGAGATAACAGGACTGACTCTAAATTAGTTGGGTTTTGTTTTGTTTTGTTTTGTTTTGTTTTGTTTTGTTTTGTTTTTTCAAAGAGAAAAAGGGCAAGCCACGTGACACCCACTCTTTTCCCTGTTGTTTTACTTGGAGATATATTAGTGTTTTGCATGTGGCAGGCTTCTCGCCACATTTAGCTTTATTTTCCCATCAAGAACCACCTCTGGACAAATAGTAAAGGACTGTAGTCTCCTTATTAACTGCTCCCCTGCCACCTTTCAGCACCTCCTGTGCTCTACTCAGCTGAACAGATTTCCTGTTCTTGGCCCATCTCCCGATCTTCTCAGCTATCTGGCTCCCCAAGGCAATAGCACCTAACTTAAAGATCCCAATGGGTCTATTCACCCTTTAAAATTATAGGCAAAATGTTGTGTTTGTGGATTAGAGCATTTTTCTGAAGAGAAGATCTATAGTTTTAGATCAGATTCTCAAAATGAATCATGAGTTTAAATACATTGAAGAACTACTTGCCGTATGAGGTAACCATGACTAAATTTTCAAGCCTAGTCACCGTGGAGTCTTCAGTCTCTCACCATCTGCAGCTGCCTGGTCTCTGGGTAGGATCAGTCCTGCATTACCCCCAAGGGGCAGTGAGGCCCCCCCACTGGGAGTGGGGGACACAGCTGATGCTGACATCAGGCTCCACCCTGCCAGCCGGCTAGGCCCTACCCGCAACAGCACTTACTATCACTCACACAGTCTGTGCCAAACATCATTAAGCCTATACATCTGTGGCCAATATAATGATATATTTCAAGACCTCATAAAAAAGACTTTTTGGCTCATTAGCTATTCTATATTAATCACACTACTGTTGCACTCTTGTAGTAAAGACAAAGAGAGGTCGCCTTTATGATGCAGCACATATGGCTATTTTAATCATGCTATTTGAGTGTCTTCCCCAAAAAAAGAGTGCTCTTGTGCACTTTCTTGATTACAGTCACACTGCCCTTCCTTCCAAGTGTGGCAGAAGGCAAGTATCAGCTTGTACCACAGATGGGGACTAAAGCCTAAAGCGAGTAAGGGCTTGTCAGAAAACTCATCCAGGAAGAAAAAAAGCTGACCTTCAAGGCCTGCCATGGCCAGAAACATGCATTTTTAGTTTATGCATTAGTTGGACAGTGTCTTTCTTATTGAGAAAATTGAAGCTCAGAGAAGATCAACAGCCTTTCCAGGTCACAAAGACAGTACGTAGGAGAGAAGTGAATCTGGGTGTTTCTGATCCCAACACGCACACCCTTCAAGCCACCTTGCACAAGGAGTTAAGTGAGTTACCAGACAGGACTCGAACATGGGTGTGTCTGGTTCCGAAGCCTGCAACCTTCCACTATCTGGCGTGGCCTCTTGTCTAGTGAATAACATGGCATTGTCCACTCTCTAAGAGATCCAAGTCTTTCTTATTAATAGCCCTTCCTGCTGGGAAGTCTTTCTGCACATCTGGCCTGAGTGACCCATTCTCTCTTATTTTAACCGGGTGAGAAGCCTTTTGTAGCCCAAAATCCCAAGACAGGAGTCTGAAGACACCTCGGTTCCCTCACTGGTTTGTCCAGCCCTCCCAGCTCAAGCCACCCTTCCCCAGCCACCCTGACTGAGGGCATCTGGCCTCAGCTGCCAGCACGACCAAGGACTTCCTGACCGTGGAGGATTGTGCATGTGTGTGTTAGGAGTTGATGTGCCAGTGGGCACCCGCGCTGTCATTTATTCAACAAATATGAGTTCCTACTCTGTGCCAGCACCGCTCCAGGAGCTAAAGTTAAAAGCAGTGAACAAAATAGAAGTTCCTGCTCTCAGAGACTTTACATTCTCATGAGGGGAAGACAATATAGATGAACAGATATGTCATAAAATCTCAGGCAATGTCACATGTTTGAATAAAGCAAAGGGGGTAATAGAGGAGGGAAGGCTATTACTAGAGAGGGTGGTTGTGAGGCCTCACAGAGACCTGAAGGAGTGAAGGAAGGAGTCCCAGAAGTCATAAGGAAGAGGTAACAGGGAGTGCAAAGCCTTTAACTGAAACTGTGCTGAGAGATTCCTAGAAGTAAGGAGGCAGGGTGGCGGGGCTTGACCCTGGGGGCAGAGTGGTGGGAAATGAGGTTGAGGAAGACCAGCCACCAGGTCTGCCATGCCTTATAGGCTGCGACAGGGAAACTGGATTTTATTCTAAGTGTGATGGGACAACACTGGACATTATACAGTATCACTCAGGTTGCCATATGGCGACCAGACTCAGAAAGGGTTCTAGGGAGAGCAGGGAGACCCACTGGGAGGTTGCTGCAGTAGCCTAGGCAGGAAACGGTGGCAGTTCAGGCTCCATGGAAGAGGTGGAAGATGATCAGCTTCATAATCTGTTTTGATGGTAGAGGGCTGATAGGATTTGCCGATGCATTGGAAATGGGGAGAAAGGGAAGTTCAAGGTGTCTTAGTTTTGGTGGGGAGTACAGATCAATGATGGTACCACCTACTGAGATCAGAATGCAAGGGGTGAGAGAACAAGCAGGAGTTCCGTGCATGTGAATTTTAAGATGCCCATTAGACATCCAAGTAGACATGTCACATAGGCAGGCATTTAGATGAATCTGGGTTGAGGACAGAGGTCAGGGTTGGAGGCAGGGTATGGGGAACCTTGCACATATGAGGCCATTTAATGCCCTGGGATTGAATGAGGTCCCTAAAGAGTGGCTATGGATGAAGGAGGGGAGGGGGCAGCGTCCAACACTGAGAAGTAGGGCAGGACAGAGGTCTACGAAAGAGAATGGGAAGGAATGGCCCCTGTAAGACAGGAAGAAACCCAGGAGAGAGGGGTATTCGAGAAGCCAAATGGCAATCATTTCTATAAGAGAGGAATGATGAAGATTAGTGCATCAGGTGCTGCTGCTGGGTAGATGCGCCTGAGAAACGGCCATTGGATTTGGCAACGTGGCAATAGCTGGTAACCACAAGGGAGTTAAGGGGAGTGATAGGAAAAAAGCCTGATTTGAGACATTACAGAAACAGCCATTTGCTGAAGGCCACACAGCTAATTACTAGCTGGGTGGGAATTTAAAACCAAACCTTGGCTCCTAAACACTGGGGTCCAGCCGCTACCATGGCCACTTTATGATTGTTGCTGAAATGATTTCGACCCACCCTTCTTTTGCTGGCCTCAGCCTTGCCGTATTCATAAGTCTGCTCCCGCTTTCACATTTGTTCTTTATATCATCACAGGCAGCTAACATATATTAGGTTGAACTAAATAAAATTGCTGTTTAAATTAGTCAAAAACACTTGAATATTGGCAGATGGTGTGGTTCAACCTGGAAAAAGCATATAAAAATCACTTAGCATCATTCCAGGCATGGACTAAGTATCCAATAAATGCCAGCTATGACTTTATGTCCCATTCACTCCTTTGTTGTGTATTGTTATTTGCATTTTCCTAGTGAAGAAGGTCAGGCTCAGAAAAGTTCAGGAACTTGCCCAAGAACTCACAGTCACCAAGCAGCACAGCCAGAAAAGAGCAGTTTCCTAACTGGACTCTCCTGATTATGCCAGCATGGTGCTTGCTCTTGGGCAGAGAGGGAGGCCAGCTCCTCTATGCAGCCCCATCATGGGGCTTTTGGAAGCTAGGACCCCTTCCAAAAGCCTCTCTATACCTTGTTCTCCCTCCCTAGGGTTAGAGCTCAGGGAACCAACCTCTTGGGGAAGTTGGAAGAAAAAAAGCTGCGCTAGAGGGCTGAGTCCAGAGCTAGCCCAGGAGTGGAAGGGGTGAGGCGTTGTCCATATAAGGACACGTTTTCCTCTCTGTGTGGAGGCCCCCCATATCCCTCACCGCCATCTTCCCCCATGCTTCTTTGAGGTACAACCAGATCAGCAAAGGACTCCAACCCTGAGGCCCAGATCTAGAAATGGAGTTCAATTTCATCACCAGCTGATTAAAATAGACAGAAAATACAAGCTGCTCTTTAACTTTTATTACTATTATTTTTATCCCCTGGGCAGCACTGTGAGCGCAAAGCTGGTTCTGATTAAGCACTTGGTCCTTCAGCCTCTTCTTTGCTGTGGTTCTCACGGAGGTCTAGTGGCTTGTGGTACATACACATCCCTCCTGGGGCAGGGGTGAGGGGTGCTGCAGAGAGAAGAGGGGACTCCAAGTCAGGGGTGTGCCTAGTTTGAAAGGGAAATTGAGCCCCTTTTCTCATGGCCGGATGGAAAGATAAGGTGCACAGAACTTCCAAAAACAAGGCTCAGAGCACAAGACAGGAAGTACATTCACACATCCGTGTGAAGCCAGCACCCAAGAACAGAGGACAGGCGCAGAGGCAGGAAACATGTGGTAGGGGCCAGTCAGGCAGGGCTTTCTGAAGGTGGAGAATTTTAGAGCAGATTCAGAAGGATGTAAGGAAGTGTGGTAAACAGGATCATTGTTCTGCTCTCCAGAACACTGTTGCATGCAATCTCTCCTTTGAGCCTCATAACACTGTGAGGGAGAGAATATAAGTGTCATTCGCTTTATAAAGATTCAGAAATAGAGACCCAGGGCAGTTGAAATAATTTGTCCACAATCCCAAGATTGCTGATGACACAGCCCAAATGAGAACCCTCTTGGTCTTACTCTAAGGACGCTTAGAAGCAAAGCCCAATACAACCCCATGAGGAGGAAACTCAGGCCCTCTCTCCCTTCTTTCAGGAATTCAGGAAAACTGGGCCTCTCATCCTTTGTTTTCTTATGCCTCAATTTACCCATCAGTTACAAAAAATCCTGCTCCTTCTGTATCTCCATCATCTGATACCCCCAAACTCACCAGGAGAAAGACAGCAGAGAATGCTGAAGCCAAAGAACACAGAACTATCTGTACATGCTCTGCCCTCTCCTTCTCTTTCTTAAAAAAGGGGAAAACAAATTTATGGGTGCCTGTCAGAAAATGCCGGTCTTGAAAGAAGGGAAGTTGAGAGGGGACTGGAAAGGGAACCATACATAGGCTTACCCTATGTTCCCTGGTTATGGCACCCGGTTCCCAATATCAAGGGAAGCACTGTTTTCTTGTTTCTTGGAATAGTCCCTGAGACTCTCCCTGTGCCCCAGCCCCATTTACACACACACACACACACACACACCCCACCACCACCTTACCCCCTAGGAGTTTTCAACCTGGTGATATATTAGAATCATCTCTGGAGCTTCTGGATAATATTGACACCAGGCCCTGACCCAGACCAATTAAACTAGAATCTGGGGAGTGTGATACTCAGGTATAGCTACTTCTCATGTACGGCCAAGATCGAGAACCATAGAAGTTGACAAATATGAACTGTACTGGGGATTTTTCTATAGCTGAGAATGACCGCTATGTCTGTGGGAAAAACCCAATGTGAGAAAATGAAATCACTTCCTTCCAATGGTACTTCCTGCTCCTCCTTCCATGTCCACATGGAATCTGATGTGTGGGCTACTCTCTGAGGAGACGGGACACAGGCAGGTCAGCTGTAGATGATGGGTACCGTGGACTCACCATCTGGGACTCCTTAGCTCTTACAGAAGGTGGCAGAAGGGTAATACACAGTGGGGAATGGAGGCGGGGAGGGGTCCTGGTTATCACGTGCTGCTTAAAAGGATTACTTCCAGCTTTGTTCCCTCAGACCTGTCACATAGAAGTTCTACTTAAGGCCTACACGTAATCATTCCTGTAGTTACACATGTACAGCTCTGGGCTGATTCCCTGGAGACCTGTATACCTTGGAGCTGCTGTGAGCCTAGACTATGCCTGCCCCAGGCCCCCACCCTTGGATTACCCAGCTAATAGGGAGCGGGCAGGCATTAATTTGGGAAGGAAGCCTGACTGGTGTGGAGGGATTTATATGGACAGATTCACATTCTGGAGCAGGAAAGAGACCCAAATGCCATCTAGAAGGAGCAGTGCATCCAGAGGAGCACCAAGAATCCATGTGCCAGGGAAATGTATGTCCCCAGCCCCTAGTTCTGTGCTCTCCATGCCCACTCCACAAAGTCCCAAGGAGAGAGTATGTGTTAGCAGCCAGGACTGCTCCATCCAGGAGGCAGGGACAGCAAGATGACTATCCTCCCCAGGAAAGCCACAGGAATGTGGCTGAAGCCTCAGCTGGAAAGTCCCACCCCCTCCTTCCTCCTTCTGAGCTTCCTCTCTTTAGGAGCAGGAAAAGGATGAACAGGAAGGGGCTCTGACAGGGTGGCTCCCTCCCAGCGTGGTCCCTGAAGAGAGTTCCTTGTGGGGAAAATGCTGGAGCATAGCATAGTGATAGCCATTCAGCCAGCTGCTATTTATCCCTGCTTCTTATCCGAGTCCCTGGGTGATTTCCCCTCATCTTCCTAAAAGCTGGTCTCCTTGGAGTCCAGTGAAGGCTTTTTCGGCCCATCCCAGGCCAGAGAGATGTTACCCTGCTGCCCTGGCAAGGGAGGGTTTCCCTGGCATTATCCAGTGAGCATTCCCATGCAAGAGGGAGCAGGGAGGAAAGGACTGAGGAGCCATGCATCATCTGCACAGTGGTTCAGCTCTGCCCGGAGGGCTGCGGCTGAAGAGTTTCACCGGGCCCACTTTGGGGAAGGATGCAGAAGCCCCCACAGTGGCCTGAGGCTCAGTCCAAAGCGGGTGAGATGGCCAGCCACCGCTCAGAGGCTGTCCTCTGATTTGGAGGTCTGACTCTCAATGCCCATCTGTAGAAGGCAGTCTGAGAAATCAGAGGCTACAAACCACCTCCAAACCATGAGCCCAAGGGCAGGGACCCTGTCCCTTCCTTCTTCTGTACAAGAGACCCCTCTACACAGAGTGGGCTTCTGGAAATCCAGAACGTTTAGCCCAAGAGTGTCAAAACCCAATAAAGGGAAAGGATGGGGAGAGATGAGCAGAGGGACATCAACTCTCCCCCTGCCCTGCGTTGATGGGACTTCTGGCAGCACGTGCCTGCTGCAACGGGGAAAGCATTAACTAGTTCCCAGGATAGCCGGTCCATCCATCTTGCCAGGGCAACTGCGCTCTCTCCATCTGATTTATAAGGCCCAGTGGAGCGAAGCTCCTTTGGTGCTCCTGTGGAGGAAGGTTCTGGCCACAGGTACCGGCCACTGAGCCAGCACTAAGGGCCCTCAGAGTGACATGAGGCATGGGGGTAGCTGGAGGGGGCTATCATTTTGGTTGCGGTGGGATTTTTGTGGAGATACCTCCTCTGCTCTTTCCTTGGGCAGATGCCAACTAAAGTTTGTTGTCACCTGTCTCGTTCCAGCTGCTCCCGCCAGTGAGAATGCCAAAGCCCCAGAGATGAAATCCCGGAGGCCCAAGAGCTCACTTCCTCCCGTGCTAGGAACAGAGAGTAAGTACTTGTTCAGCTTTTCTAGGCAACCCTCGGACTGAGGGTCAGTGGAGGCCCCTGCTCTCTTGCACAAGCTCCTAGAAGTCACGCAAGTGCCCAGTGAACTCTTGGAGACCAAGCCAGTGGCCTTTTCTCAGTGCTTCTCATCTCTCCCCAACCTCCCCACAGCCTGAGTGGTGGTGCACATCCACGTCCACCCTCAACCTCACTCAGGCCCTTTCTACTTCTCATAAGACCCCTGTGAGAGCTTCTTCTAATCTCTCCCAGGTGAGTGTTTCCTGCCAGGTAGATCTGTTGAAATTGGCTCCGATCTTGTCACTCTGGCTGGAGTGCCCAGCAGCCTCCAGTCTATTAGTCCCATACAAATGAACCTCGCACACCTGCTGCCTTGCACAGCTGCCACACACAAACACATGTTCTGACGTTAACCTCAGCCTCCTTTTCAAGCTGCCCCCATCTCCTTTACTCCTGTTTTATACCCGAGCCAAACTGAGCTCCTCAGTGTACACTGGACATCCCTGTGTTCCTTACTTCACACCTTTGCTCTGGAACCTCTCTCCATGGGACAGGCTCCCATGGAAAGCCACCTCATCCCTGAGTTTGTCCTTGCTCCAGCTTAAAGTCACTTTTCCCTCCTGTGAGTTCTTGTAGCGCTTAGCCCTATACTGGCCCTCTGACGTTGACTGCCTTCTTCCCAGTGTCACAGTGTTGTGTCTAGTCTCATCCTTCCTCCTCCATTGTAAGTTCCCTCAGGGCTACAGCTGGGCCTTCCACACGTGCCCCTTTCAGGCTGACACATGCTGTGCCTTGGTCATGGAAAGCCCTTGCCAGAATCTCTGAGAATCAAGTTGCAGCTGTGCTATACGTAGCAAGGGGGGAAGGAGTTTCTCCTGTGACTGAACAGCTATCTCCCTCTTTTTGGATCTCGGCTTCCCCCAGGGCCCACTTATCTACTAGGCGCAGAGAAATGATTTACAAATATATCCTAACATCTTATAAAATTAGCAGAAAACAGTAAAATTTAGCTCAAAGAAAATGTTTTAATTCACAATATTAACATATTACGAATTCATAATATTAATATCTTTATATCAATGTGTTACAAAATATAATTTACATAGTTGTATATGTGTGTGTACTTATATTTTTTGGTTTTTCCTTTAATGGAGGAAGGAGCCAGTGAAGGCAAAAGTGCCTAGTGTTACAAGTCATAATGCAGCATCCCTGGCTTCCCCTACGGATTAATTATTGGTCTAATTTTGTTAGAACTATGCTTTGAATCTTCCAATTTTAATAGACTGTGGAGTTGCTTAAACATCCTTAACATATACTTTCTATATTTAAAAAAAATCAAAAGACAAAACTCTTAATTACCCATACTAATGAGGAAAATGATTGAGCCTGATTAATTCAAAGACTGTTTCTCTTTTTCCGTCACAACACAGTGTCTGAGTTAGTTTTACTCTTTTCTTAAAAAGCAACATATTTCCCTTCTGAATGATGAGCTTGAGTTCCTTGCTCATGTATCAGCCATGCCATCAAGGGGATGCTCAGCCCTCAGTATGTTGGGGCAGCCAAATTGGAATTATAATTTCCTATGGATATTTAACTGCAGTAGGGAACCTCAGATTATCAACAGTGGGCCTTTAACAAGTTATTGGAGGTACATAAACAATTCTAAGAGAAATCTAGTAAGAATGAGTTAATGATTTTCTTGCAAAAGGGTTTCTTAGGCCCTTGCTCTATTTGTTATGGGAAATGTGAGCAAAATAAATGCAGGATCTCAGAATAGCATCCAGCACTTGTGAATTAGGGGTCTGACAGGCCGTACGCCTGTCCTGGGGCATAAGCAGGAGTGCGAGGAGTTTGAGCTGAGAGGTCAGCAGCCTCCTGTCCATTCCACTGAAGGAATGAGGGAGGTTAGGCAGGATCAGAGGAGAACCACAAAAGAATAAAACAAGCTGGAGGCCATGAGCAGACCAGGGCCCTGGGTTCTTTGCTCTGGAGAAGAGAGAGCTGTGGAAAACCCCAGTCAAGTTGTCATCATCCAGTCCCAGGGCAGGGGCTCTCCACCATGGCTGCATATTAGATTCACCTGGCGAACTTTTAAAAACACTGCTGCCTGGGCTGCACCCCAGACTAATTAAATCAGAATCTCTGGGGGGGTGGGACCCAGGCTTCGGTATTTGTTTAAGCTCCCTGGCCATTCCAGTGTGCGGTAGGTCAGGCTGGAAACCAGCTGTTCCAGAGGGAAGCCCAGGGCCCCACAGTGTTGGTCTTAAGAAGCAGAATAGAAATATACCAAGTACAATGTGAAAGTCCTCTTTCCTGAACTCCCAATTTCACTCACCTCAAGTATATTTATATTCACAGTTACTTGTTTCTGTGCATTTGTATTTACATATGCAAATATATCACACAATTTGTACATCTCTGCAACTTGCTTTGTTTCTCTTACCACTGCCTTCCAGTCCCGTATATCTGATTCCATGAGAAAGCCCAGAGACTCGTGTCCCCGAGTGCTCTGGCTGTGTTTGCGTGTTCGTTTTTGTCAAGGACTGGGAAGTACCTGATCTAACCAGGAAATCCATCTTTCCTGCCAGTGACCAGGGGAAGGCAAGGCTGAGTCAGACCGTGGCCAGATCCCTTTCTGAACTCTCTCCCCTCCCCAGGTCCCATATTCAGTTCTGTAAGTGAGCTGTCAGGTGTGAGAGTAGACAGCACTCATCCACACTGTGGCCTGAGAGCCCCCGGGAGCTCCGCCACTGCCGAGCAGTGAGGAACATGAGGGAAAAGCCAAGTCATTCTGCTCCAATCCCAGGGGCAGGGTGAGAGAAAACTCTCAAAAGTACAAGTTAACCTGCCAGACAAGCACTCACAAGGACAGGAGTGTGGAGAGGGTAGTGTGGGAAGATTTGGGGATGAGGGAAACTCTGGGCCAGGTTATGAAAGAGGAGAAGAATGTGGTTTGGTTGAAGTGGAATGAAAACATTTGGGGAAGAAACTTCACGGATGCTAGAATGAGTATGGTGAGGGCACCCAACTTGGGATCATCTGCTCGTCATACAAACCAAGTGTTTGCTGAACACCTGTGCCACAGGCATCATTTTAGGCACTCAAGCTATGTCATTTCAGGCAAGTCTCACCCTACGGAGCTACAAATAGTTGTTCCCATTTTACAGATGAGCAAAACTGAGCCTTAGAAAACTAAGTTTTCCTGCCTGGCATCTCACTGTGAGGCCAAACCTACGTTTCCACCACAATAAACACCCTGTGTGCCTTGCCATAGTCTCAGAGTCTTACATTGTACTGTCCACACAAGCCTGGGCAGTGCTTCTGTCGGCCCACTTAAAGGGCAGAGGTCTGACTACCATTAGAGCTGGGGGAGAAGGAGGGCGACAGCTGGCATGCTTCCCCGGATCTTAATAACTTTATTTTGATATAATTTCAAACTTACAGAAAAGTTGCAGGAATAATACAAGAAACTTTTGTATACCCTATACTATGAATATGTTCATATATATATTCACCATTCATCAGATGGATGTAGATATAGATACCATTTATGAATGAATTAGAGACATCGTGCCCTTGACCTCTAAATATCTCATTGTGTATCTCCTAGGAACATAACCACAATGCAGTTATTAAAATCAGGAAATTTAAAATTGAACCAATACTGGTATCTAATCTATGGTCTATATTCAATTTTTGTCTTGTCTCAATATCCTTTATGGCTGGTTTTCCCCCTCTTGATGGGTATTAATGTCAGCACTCCTGGAACACTTCGTCTACTCCTCCAGCCCCTGATGGGTTGTCTCCTACCTTTAGAGAAAGAACAGAAGAAAAGTGCACAGGCCAGAGGAGAAGCATCCAAGACTCCTCCCTTCAGTTTAGTGGGTGTGGGGAGGCAGCAGCAATTGGTAGGCCTCCAAATGCTCATTCACTGTGCCCGGCTCCAGAGTAGGGCTCAGACTCAGGGCATAGCCAGACAGCCACTGGGCCAGAGAGCAGAGGACAGAAGTCTCGGTTTGACCACTAAGTGAACATGTGGCCATGGTCAAAGCCCTTTGTCTCTCTGGACCTTGGCTTCCTCAGACTGATCCCAGGCCTTTCCAGCTCTGACATCAGGCCGTTCCATGCAACGCTTTTTTTTAAGTGACGCAGTTCAGGTGAAGTCAGCCAACTCCCCTTGCTATCATCTGATGTGCGAATGGTCAAAGCTACAGACAGCATGGGTCGTGTTACAAAACAGCAGAAAGATGCTAACAGGAAGAAGGCCTTAAGCATAAGGCCCAGGTTTAGGGTATTCCAGCTGGAGAGGATCTGAATGGAATTTTATGTGAAGGAGGCATCAGTGGAGCTCCATGATTTTAGAAAGTACAGACAAGTCCATGCTGGTGTGAAAACAGACTCAGGGATTCCTCCTATCAGTCTGTAGAGTTGATAGTCTTTTAGAAAAGTGATAGATGGGCATCCACAGGGTACTTTTACAACTTGAAGACAGGAGCCAGGGCCTGTCCATCTTTGAAACTTCAGTGCCTCATCCAAAGCAGGGATATAATAAGTCTGATTTTTCAAATCAATTCATGAGTTTCCATATTATAAGGGTCCCTGCCTTCACCGTGCTTCTGGGATTTGGGGAGATGCAGGTGGGACACCCCTTCATAATTCATGCTTGGCCTTAGCCTGAGTTTCACCTCTGACATTGGACACTTTGGATTCAGCCACCACAATGGACAATCCCAGATTATGATGCTTTCAGATATCTTTGCCTTGGCCTCCCATATGTCTCTCTCTGAAGCCAAAAGTCATGTCAACTTGAAAGCATCTTTGGATGTCAAAAGTTGTGTCCAGTTTTCCTGAAAGGTCCCCCAGGATCAAATCTTTCTTTTAACTATTCTCTCCAGGTCATGGGGAATGTTAAATCTTGATAGGATTCAGAGGGCTAGAAGGAAATGCTGGCTGGAGAGGTTGAGACTTGGCCTCAAGACTTGCTT